ACACAATCAGTCACACAATGGACGAGGTCGAGGTGCCAGTAGAACAGAGCCAGAAGTGCATTGGCAAAAACACATTTGTGTCTTGGAAAATCAGACATCACTTTGTAGAGAGGGACGGGCGTGTGGTGGGCGTGGTATGTGGGGGTATGCCAACCACCCACTTCTCCCGACGTGAGAGATAAAAAATAACAAATCGCCTACAAGTTCAATGTCAAACCGGAGCTACTGGCAATGGTGAAAACAAACTGCATACATTCATGATAGCTGCAGGACTGTCCTATAGAGACCTGCCACAATTTGAAGAGAACAAACATGAATTTTCAGGATGTGGTTGCTACATTCACGTAGTTTTAAAAAAACATGACAATATCAAGTAATCCAAACTATTCAGATTACGTTACTCACCTTACATACCCCAAACTACATTTTGGGGTATGTAATCTGTAATCTGTAAGGGAATACATTTTAAAAGTCACCTTCCCAACACTGTCGTATCATTTGAAGTGATGATACAGTATCAATATCGTAGGCTGCTGTATCGATATATCACCAAGAGTATTTTTTGGTATATCTTACTCATTTATTTTATTACAGTGCTACAGTTTTATTGTTTGTTTTGTTGTTTGTTTTGTTTTGTTTTGTTTTCAAGAAAGCTACGGTAGTAAAACAAGCAGGCATTTAATGGAGCATCGATGAATGAACGACCTTTGGAGGAAGTGGAGTAGTCTGTAAACAAGTACTAAAGGTTTTCTACTGGTTTAGTCTTGCTTGAATGAAAAAGGTCCTACTGTAAGCACCTGGCGCATTGACTTTTATTGTACGAGCACATAATATTCCATCATATCACACAGCCTTTTTTTTTCCCCTTTAATGAAATAATTCAATTCTTTTACAGTAAATTTCACATAAGCAAAACAAAAGACTTACAACAGGCACGAGTAGCAACATAAATATACAGTAAAAGATAGAAAACAATTGTAAAGGAAAAAAAAAAGGGATAGAGCTAGGGGGTTTTCCATCAATTTCAGTCGTTCCACAGTCCTCGTAAATTACACAGCAGAGCTTTTGTTGTTTGTTTAGAAAAAGGAAACTCGATCATGTGACACATTTGACATTTTCTCTTTTCTGATGATTAAAATGTTTGTGTTTCATATGAACTTTGCACAAGAAGTGGTCACAGCCATGATTTAGCTTTTATTTTTTTATTAAACCGTATTAAATCAATTTGAAATATATCATATAGAATTGAAAGTTCACTGTATCAAGATATGTATATCGTATCGTGGCCTATATATCGAGGTATGTATCATATCAACAACTTCTTAATGATACCCAACCCTATTCATTACAATCATTTGGATGATTTCAGCCATAGAATTGCCAATTTCTACTGAACAAAAGCTAAAAAGTAACTTGAAAACTATCGCTTCCTAACATCACAAGGTGGAACAGAGCATTTTGAGATTTAAAGAGATAAACAGACGAATAATAAATGGTTCCTCAAACGTGTGAATGAAACAAAACTCAACTCCGTGTACCGTATATTTTGGTTGAGGTAACATTATAACATGATCTTAACCTCACACGAGTTCATTTTGCGTAACAAAGGACCTTAAACCACTATAAAATAACATTCATACCAATTATTGTTTTGTTCATGGGAGCCACACCAAAACCCATAAATCCTGCCTGTATCCTTATTTGAACAAAGCATATTTATTATCATGAAATATGGGAATGTCCCGACACTCCTTCAGCTGAGCCTCATGCCAAGAGGAAGAAGCTCCAATGAACAAAGCAAACCAGGAAACACTTAAGTAGGGCATTTTACCGAACTTTTGACACCGACACAACAATAATAATACAGGCATTTGAAATATTTAGACTCGGCTGTGGCAGACGGTTTGCGTGACATCTGCGACTGTGACTGGGAACTATCATAAAATACTACAAGATAAATATGTAAAATAAACTGATTAACGATATTAGTTATAAAGTTTTGACTACATGCAAAAAGAGCACAAGTGCGGAATTTACCGAAGTACTTTTATGTATTTGCCCAAACCGAAGTCAGGAGTACGTATAATTTGAAGATACGTTAATGGGGAAAACCAGAGTATATAGATCCAGGAATCAAACTTGTGACCATTTTCCCATGTGACGACTGTGAAATAATTCAAACTTTGCAGTGAAAGGCCCAGGATCTTGCTCGAGGGCACAGTAACAGTACATTTGTCACCATCAATATCTGTATTAATGAGTATTATTGTATAGCTCTATTATATATTATATAACCACTCTGTCACTTAAGCTTTCCAAACAAATTCTGTAATAAGACAAAATGGAATAAATACTGTTATTGCTACAGTAAACATAGGAAAGTACAAAGTTGTTTTTTTTGTTTTGTTTTTTTGCTAATTAAAGGGCCCATGTTGCTCTATTTTCTGATTATAATGTTGTTTCATCATCACAAACAGATCTAGAGTTGTGTTATGTTTCATTCTCACATGTTTAACACAAATTCTGCATATTTAGGCTGAGTTCTTCTCTCAAATTGAAAACAATCTGTGCAACTTTGGGATGTCATGGTAATACAGGAAGTGCTCCACTGTGTTTTTAAACTCCACACACTTTCACTTGAATCATTTAAATCATTTCAGCTCTGGAATTGCAAATCTCTACTGAACAAAAGGTAAAAAGAGTTCACAGTGTGGAACAGAGCATTTTGAGCTTTTGGACGTACTGTAATAATAAAGAGTTACTCAAACATGTGTGAATGAAACAAAACAGAACTCCAGGTCTGTTTTTTATGCGGTAACATTATAACATGGCTTAAAGGTGCATTATGTAACTTTTTGGTTGGGGGTCAATCCATCCATCCATTTTCTTCCGCTTATCTGGGGCTGGGTCGTGGGGGCAATAGTCTAAGCAGGGACTCCCACTGCTGCCACCGTGACCCAGCCCCAGATAAGCCGCCCAGATCGCCTTGCACTGGCCCGTTATGGTTCCTCCCGTGGGTGGTGGGCCCACGGAAGGGCGGCCCAATGTTGCTCCTTCAGACTGTGCCCGGCCAGGCTCTGTGGGGAAAGGCCCGGCCACCAGACAATCGGCCTGGCTCCAGGGTGGGGCCCCCGTAACGCCATTCTGGGTGATGTAACTGGCCTCGTTGTTATGCTCATCACAGGGGGCTTCTGAACTGTTCTTAGTCAGACCTGTTTGCCTTGGGTGACTCTACCAGGAGCATGAAGCCCTCGACAATATAGCTCCTGGGTTCATTCGGGCACTCAAACCCCTCCACCATGTTAAGGTGAGGTTCAAGGAGGGGGGAGAGTCAATTGCTTGCTTGTTTCTACTGCAGTGTAATGTTAATTTGTTGAAACAGAAATTGTTGGCCAGCTTCAAAAACATTGGAAATTTTACATTTGTAGTAAGGCAAAGTTGAGAAATTACATTCATTTTAAGAAGGAGTATCAAAGAGAGCTGTATGTAAATCTAAATCTGACCAGAAAACAGCGGTCGTTCTGTGTCCAGCTGAGGACTGGCACTTTGCCCTGGTAGTGGAGGTGGGTCGGGTCAAAGGTCTTCACTGAGGACGAGCGAGTCTGTGACCTGAGGGTGGTAGAGGATCAAGGGCGTAGGTTTGGTCTCAGCCCCCCAATCCATGTTTTATGAATTCTTTCCAAAAACACAGAGTCTGGGCAGGTCCAAGTGAGAAGTGGTTTCATTTTTCAGTAAGCAAAATGTACAGTTTGTGTCCATTGTCGTTCTAAGATGATTCTTTAGCAGATAACTGCGATGTAGAAGTTTGTAGCAGATTTCCCTTTGTTTGTTGGTGATGAGATATTTGTGAGATCATGTCCGTACATTTTTCCATGGAATATTGTCAGTAGAGTCAGGCTGCTAACAGTGCACGAGTAGAGCTCAGTTTGGGAGGTGCACTTGTGGTGATAGTCGCTCTTTTTCCGTGGCAACTCATTATAAGACAAATTAAATTGAAGATGAATAAATATTTGTTGACATGTCCCCACCGTCCCCATGCAAACCTATTCCCTTGTAGAGGATGAGTTTCATTTTGTTCTTTACTGTTCTCTGTATTCTGATTTGAATATTTTGAATTTCAGGTTAGTTCCAGTTAGGACCAACAGACTCAGGGACAGCTTCTTCCCCAAAGCTGTCACCATACTTAATGAGAACTGTTAATTTGTTTTATTTATTATTAATTCTTGCACTTTGACGGAGCAGCTCTGAATTTCATTATACTATTGCATAATGACAATAAAGGCTTTCTATTCTATTTCTATTGAGGAATATTTTATTTACGGCTGTACAGTCAACAAACCCTGATGTACTTTCTTTGCTGGATTATAAAATTATGAGTTTGCTTTATAATGAGGAGGTATTTGTTATAGGAGATACTACAGAAGTACTACGGTAGATCCTGTATGACTAGAGTCTGTTTTTGTCAGAGCGGTTATTTGTTTATTTATCGGTCTGTAACCGTCTGTGAATGTTTTTACAGTTTCTTGTGAGCCAGTTGTGGCTGGACACAAATGTGTAAAAATTAAAATCAATCAATCAATCTTTCATCATTGCTCTGCCTGGAATGTTCCACGGTGTGACATTAAACAGCTCTATTTTATTATTTATTCAATTACAGGTGGTTTTAAAGATCAAAAATACCTAGAAAAACAACATCCTGTCATCTCTCCACAGATCTGACCTGTAACTTGGCCTGGTTGTGTCTCCATGATGATAGAAAGGTTTAATGCCATACTGTGAAACATTACAGATAAAGCATTTGATGGACCCTCCACCAGAAAAGTTACATAATGCACCTTTAAAGCTCACAAGAGTCCATTTTGTTTAGCATAAGAGCTTAAATTTAAATAGTAACCAACCAATTATTCCAGCACAATTTTTTCTTGTTTGTAAAAATACACACATTTAACTTCCTGAATGTAAACTCCTGAAAATATTTCCCATGAATAAACAAAAACACATTGTGAATTGCAAATATTTTCAAACTTTTATTAAAAAATAGATTACCTGCTATTGTCAAACTATCAAGCCGCCAGTGTATTGAGTTACACACCAAAAGATAAATAATAATGGAAAAAAAAAAAACTCAAAATGCAAAGCAGCAAAAAAACCATAAGATGTATGGCAAATATTAGACCGAAAGTTAATCAGCATCAAATGGATTCATATATTGGCGTTACGAAAATATATTTCTTAAAGGCGCTGTACCTGATTTTTCTCCGTGTATTTGAGCAAAACTGTCTTGCCCCCGAACAGATATTTTGTAAAAGCAGGTCTTGAAATCAAAATAAGTCGTCATTTTGCAAGTCCAAGTCAAATCCCAAGTCAAATACAGGCAAGTCCAAGTCGAGTCTCGAGTCACTGGCCCATAAGTCTAAGTCTAGTCCAAGTCGTCTGCTTTGAGCTTCAAGTATTTCAAGTTTTTAAACCAAAGTACCAAATACAGCTTAGATTTTTGCAATTTGTATGAATTTTAAACTAAATTATACTTACAAGTAATGGTATGTTTATAAAAGAGTATTTAAATTTATAAAGAGTATGCACATTTTTCCCTTTTTCAAATGTTTTGACAAGATCTTAATGTGAATCTGTATGATCAGAAAAGAAAGAATTCAGATTTAAAAGTGCTTCTCAAGTCTTCTGAAGTCACAGGCCTCAAGTCCGAGTCAAGTCCCAAGTCTTAGTCCATTTTATCAAGTCAAGTGTCAAGTACTAAAAATAGTGACTCAAGTCTGACTCGAGTCAGGTCCCAACTTTTGCCTGTTTGCATCTAATTACGAAGCGGTTTATTGTCCGAGAATCAGGATGTGTGTGTTAGCATGCTAGCTATGGTAGGATTATTGCTGAAAGTTGTGAAAAGTGCTCATCGTGGTGAATAGTCAGGATGCTTTTTAGTTTTTAATACGGTAAAAATCAGGTACAGCGCCTTTAATGCAAGACACTACATATAAAAGGGATTTTCAGTTTTGCCATTAGAATATGTAGACTATTTTTTGTTTTATTTCGTATTGATTAGGGGTGTAACAATATCCAAGTCTCAACACACGATATCGTCACGGCATGAACCTCATGGTACGATATTTATTGTGATATCGTGGGAAAGTTTACAATATGGCGAGGAGGCTCACGATTAGGGATGTAACGATATCCAAATCTCTCGGTACGATATTTTCACGGTATACATCTCACAGTACGATATTTACTGCAACATTTTGTGGCGGCAACCAAAACTATTAACAGTTTTGTTGCTACTTTTCCTTTCTTTTAAAATGCCTTGACAAAACTTAAACCAAAAAACCTAAGACTTAAAAGAGCTTAGAACTGTTATTTCTTCATGTATTCTACACTGAAATGGAGCAAAGGATCATGGTCTATGTAGTTCCCTCTATGTTTTTGAGCTATTGCTGCACCATAACTCTTAATTTAAACAAAGACACTTGTAATTCGATATATATATTGTGATGGTCCGCGATATTATTGTGACTTTGACGATACGATATCATGATAATTCGGTTATTGTTACATCCTTACTAGTAATTTATTAAAAAACAATCACAAAAAATTTAAAGTTAAAATGTATGCACGCTGTTTACATGTAGTGTCTTGCGTGAAAAACACAAAATGCAAAGTTACAGAAAATCTCCAATCTTCTGCCAGGCGTTTCCAACAACGGCAGAAATAATATTGCATAGAAGTAATTAATTAGCTAAACAAAAGGTTTATTTTCATTTTTAAAAGTTTGTGTATTTGTATATTGGTAGTAGATAAATATAGATGAATTGATATGTGCTACAGTAATAATAATAACCACTATGTGAAGTGGAAATCCACAGCTCTATGCATTATTGTTAAACCAGTGAAGCTACGTCCAGCTGCAGTTCCCCAAAGTTCAATAGTTCACGCCCACGACGGAGCGGCCCGAGATCTGGATGTCATCGAACGGGAACAAGGCCAGGATCTGGAAAAAGAAACAAGGAGCAGGGTTTAGACCAGAGGACCAAGGAGCCAAATCTTTGTTTCACAAGACTCAAGTAAATCTCAAGTACTTGGTCTAAAGTCTGAGTCAGGACACAATTCAAAGACAGGCAAGTTGAATTCAAGGCTAATTCAAGTCCAAGTCGAGTCCAAGTCGAGTCCAAGCCAAGTCCACGTCAGGTCCCAAGTTTGTGGCATACAAGTTCAAGTCAAGTCCAAGACAAGTTCAGAGTCAGTGGCACATAAGTCCTAGTTAAGTCCAGTTCGAGTCCAAGTTGAATACAAGCCAAGTCCAAGTCAAGTCCCAAGTTTGTAGCATCTAAGTCCAATTCAAGCCCAAGGTCAATGGCATACAAGTTCAAGTCGAGTCCAAGTCGAGTCTAAGTCAAGTCCAAGTCAAGTCCAAGTCCAAGTCAAGTCCAAGTCAGCTCCAAGGTCAGTGGCATACAAGGTGAAGTTGAGTCCACATCAGGTCTAAGTCGAGTCCAAGCCAAGTCTAAGCCAAGTCAAGTCCCAGGTCAGTGGCATACAAGTCCAAGTCCAAGTCCAAGCCAAGTCCAAGTCAAGTCCAAGCCAAGTCACAAGTTTGTGGCATACAAGTCCGAGTCAAGTCCAAGACCAAGTCAAGTCCCATGTCAGTGGCACATAACTCCTAGTCAAGTCCAAGTCAAGTCCAAGCCAAGTCAAGTCCCAGGTCAGTGGCATACAAGTCCAAGTTGAGTCCAAGTCAAGTCCAGTCAATGCCAAGTCCAAGCCAATCCCAAGTTAAGTCTCAAGTTTGTGGCAACAAAACCCAAGTCAAGTTTCAAGTCAGTGGCATACAAGTCCATGTCAAGCCCAAGACTAAGTCAAGTCCTGTGTCAGTGGCACATAAGTCCAAGTTGAGTCCAAGTCAAGTCCCAAGTTTATGGCATAAAAGTCCAAGTCGAGTCCAAGTCAAGTTCAGTCCAGTTCTAAAATGTAGTGGAGTAGAAAGTACAGATACCTACGCTCAAATGTAGTGAAGTAAAAGTATAAAGTATCCACTGTAAAATGTATTTAGGTAAAGTACAGATACCTACAATTTGTACTTTACTTTTGTACTTTATTACTTCCACCTTTGGTTCAAATACAACCCCAGCAGTAAGTTTAATAGAATTTCTAAAGCCCATTGTCAGAAGTCTTACATCATCGTTGCCGTCAGCCAGGTCCAGCGGCGTCTCATCCTCCATGTTCCGCAGCATCTTGTCTGCCCCGGACTGGCACAGCAGGTTGGCGATGTGGGCGTCCTGGCGACCGACGGCCAGGTGCAGGGGCGTGCAGCCGTTAAACATGGCGGCATCCACGTTCACGCCCCAGTTCAAGAGCATCGTCACCAGGGCAACGTCATGGAGCTCCACCGCCAAGTGCAGGGGGGTTTTTCCACTAGTGCCATCCTGTGGGCAGAGAGGAGAGGAGGAGAGTCACTACGTTGTGTTCATGCACAGACTGTATAAAGAAAAAAAAATAAAATCCTTACTTTTTTCCCATTGTGGTTTATTTTGTACAATCATAAATGATAAACTTTTGTGAATTAATAACTAGATGACCCATGTTACATCATTTTATTTTGTTAGTTTTGTTTTATTTTATTATTTTGTATTATTTTAATTTAATACTATATATTTTTAATTAATTTAATTTAATTTAGTTTTTTTTAATGTATTTTTTATTATTTAATTGTGTTTTGTTTTAATTAATTTTTTTATTATCTTTTTTAGCATTTTATTTTGTTTTGTTTTATTAATTTTTTATTTTAATTAAATTTTGTTTTATTTATATTTTATTTTATTTTATTATTTTTTATTATTCTTAATTTAATTTTAATTTAATTTTGTTTTGTTTTATTTATTTTATTTTAATTTAATTTTTTTTAAATTTAATTACATTTTATACTTTATTATCCCCATAAGAAAATTATTAAATGATTTGAACCATGTACTGTCAAAATTTAACTTGTAGAGGCAGTATTGAGCATATCCTTTTGAAATGAGAAACCAAAACTGCACTTCAAAAGAAATATTGCTCTTGACCCTTTTGACCAGAAGACATCACACCTAATGCACGCTGACTCATCATTTACAACAGATGCCCTTCCGGTTTCTCACATCACTGGATTACTTACTGAAAACGTGCAATTACTTGCTTTTTTATTTCTTTCAATTTCAAGTCCAGTGGGATTCAAAAATAAACAGAAGGGGAATCTTTTTAGCGTCGCACACAACACTTTCGGTTTAACACCCTGGTAAACCCCTACTTAACCGGTGCACAAAGTAAAAGCAAATATTTCTAATTGCATTCATCACAATCAAATTGAAATCACTATTTGAATGGACACAATTGGCAAATCGCAAAGGGTGCATTTTCCTGAGTACCATCATTTCCTTTACAAACAAAATTTCTCATTTTATTCTGCATAAAAACAGCCAAGCCTGTAGTTTTGATCTGTACAAACTTGTTCTGAAATGTGATTCTTGTAATCGTTTGTCATTTCAGATTTCAGTGTTTTTGTCACTCTGCCAGGTGAGTTTAAAATGTGAATTATGAACAGAACAATTTGAAAAATATACGAATTACAATAGCAAAAAATTTAATTAGATATATCTCCCAAATCATTCAGCTCAACTTCTAAATAATAACTTCAAAAATATTCAACAACTCACCCTTACGTAACAGATAATACTCCCTACAACTGTACAACAATTCATCCTTATGTAAAAGAATACTCCCTACAACTGTACAACAACTCACCCTTATGTAACAGATAATACTTCCTACAACTGTATGACAACTCACCCTTATGTTACAGATAATACTCCCTACAACTGTATAACAACTCAGCTGTATGTAAAGGATAATAGTCCCTACAATTCTACAACTCATACTTATATAAAAGATAATACTCCCTACAACTGTACAACTCACGCTTATGTAAAGATAATACTGCCGACAACTGTACAACAACTCACCTTTACATAACGGATAATACTCCCTACAACTGTACAACAATTCACCCTTATGTTACAGATAATACTCCCTACAACTGTACAACAACTCACCCTGAATAATAATATCATTATTCCTATTGTATAAAGCAGAGATTTTATATTTTATTACTGATTTTTCTACTTTATTTTGACTTTGTCTAAGTCTAAGTCTACATCTCCAAAGCTCAAAATGCTCTGTTCCACCTTGTGACATCATGAAGTGGTCATTTTTATGTGTGAATGAAACAAAACACAACTCCAGATACAGTACATTTGCGATGAGGAAACAACATATATGCAGCATAGATCAGAAAATCACACAATATGGGCCCTTTAATCATAAAAATAAACAAATAAAGCGTAGGATTTTATATTGGGGTCTGAATGACACATGGGCTGTGAGGAGAGGCATGTTTGGTACATTGGGTATTTATTATTTCTGTCCGCTAATAGAAAGTTATGAGTGTCTGGGTGCGCTAATCTAATGTGTCTCTATCTAATTCTGTCCGCTCGAATGTAGCCGCTGAGCTAATGTGGCTGTATCACTGTCAACCGCCACAGGTGCACTGGATTCGTGCACCAGGACAGTACAGTAATAAACACGGCACCGAGACACAACCTCAAGGGCACATGACAGATCGGACTAAAACATCGTTAACGTTACAGTTGCCTTTTTTAAATACCGGTTTTATGGTTCACATTAGTAAACGCTGACAAAAAACGTTTTAAGAACTCATTAAAAATAAAAAATAAATTGATTTAAAAGTTCTATAATACGCAGAATTGACTCTTGTGAGCTTTAAGTCATGTTATAATGTTGTTACCGCATCTAAAACAAACTTGGAGTTGTGTTTTGTTTCATTCACACATGTTTGAGCAATCCTTTATTATTAGTCGGCGTACATCTCCAAGGCTCAAAACGTTCTGTCCCACCTTGTGATGTCATGAAGTGGTAGCCTATCTTTTAGCTTTAATTCAGAAGAGATTGGGGAATGCAAGAGCTGAAATGAGCCAAATGATTCCAGTGAAGGTGTATGGGGTTTAAACCATGGATCTATAATAAAAACTGAAAAAGACATTCCCCCTCTGTCCCGGCTCGAGACCGACTAGTGGCCGCTCCAGGTACTGCAACTCCCGGGAGCTTGGGCCCAAAAAGAATTCTCCCGTAGAGTGCGAAGCATTTTTAGAGAATTCAAACTGCCCATGTTCAGCTGACAGAGCATCGACAACTAGACTGATTCATCAGCTGGTTTCACTTCGTGGAAACTGTCTGACCTCGCAGCATTAGGATTCGTTCGCTCGACGGTAGGCAGGTACTTTTTAATTTAACCAGTCGCTTCTATTTGGTCGTGACATATGTAACGTAAGGAAAACTGGTATATTAAGCTTTTCCCAAATCCCGTAGGAAGAAGGGCAATAATGTCTTTCCCCTTGATAAAATTCGCCAAACATTCTCTTTGTTCTGGCTTTAAATCCTCGATCTCGGGAATCGTTGCCAACACAGAATGTATGGCACTTTTGGGGTTTTTGCGAACAGTCTAGTGTATTCTGATTCCTGACCTAGTCCTTGAAGAGAAATGAAATTGAGCAGAAGCACTAGGTGACGCCAACAAATAACGCCAATCAAAAAACAGTCTCGGTGCCTATTTTAATTTTGAAATGTCACCTCTCTGCATCTTGTTTCTCGTCATGGAGTTCAACAATGACTTTCTAAGACATGAAATTAAACGTGTTGCTATAAAAGAAGATGACATGTTTGTCCACAAAATTGTGACGATTTTTCAGGTAAGTCCTTCTAGCAGCAGAACTTCTGGGGCAAATAAACCAAAGAGAATAAAATATCAAAATTAAAATAGGCACCGAGACTGTTTTTATAGTTGTTATTTGAAATAAACTTTAAATTAAATATTGGAAATAGAAGTCGAAATCTGTTTTTTTTGTTTTGTTTTGACATTAAAACGGAAATAATAATCTTAACTGAAATACAGAGAACAAATCTTACACGGACCAAGGATCTAATTCCTCTAATTCTTGCGTTTTTTGGTACATAAATGGTCTTTTCTTACGTAACGAATCCTCACCAATTCTGTGAACTGTTGAATTCAGGTAATTCTGAGCTTTGAAGTAAGTTTCTCTGTGTCAACCACAAAGTTCAAACCAAAGAGGAAATTGAATGTACAGGTCAACCACATGTTTTTCCTTTTTTTCTTTTGTCTTGCGTATTGAAATGATGTCTACAGCCAACTCCAGTAAACAGTGACTCAGTGGTTTGGCCTTTCTATATTCTGGAGTAAAATAGCTACTCTTACTAAATACTGTGTCTGTACGGGCTCAAAACGAATAAAACTTTATTACTATATGGAAAAAAAAATGAGTACAGCACCTTTTAAGAGTCCATATTACGCCATTTTCTTGTCTGTTATAATGTTGTTTCCAGTATTTAGTATGTAGTTCTTCTCTCAAACAGAAAAAACCTCTTTGCTGTTCCACCTTGTGATGTTATGTGGTAATACAAGAAGTGCTCCACTGCGTTTTTAAACTCCATAAACTTTCGCTAGAATCATTTGGATCATTTCAGCCTTGGAATTGTCAATCTCTACTGAACTAAAGGTAAAATGTAGCTCTTAACTTGAAAACACGGAGACATAGACGTAATCCGTGTATCATTCGTTCATTCGCTTTTCAAAATAAAAACCAAAAATAAGAAAATGTTTTTTCAATTTTGTATTTAAATGAATAATTAATGGAAAAAATTGATAATGGATGTTTCCCGTTTACGTCACTTAAACTGTGATGCCGGACTTTAGCACCATATACGGACTGAATCAGGACTAAACCAGGACCAAACCAGGACTAAACCAGGACTAAACTGTTTTCAGTCCTGGTCTGGTCCTGGTCTTGATTTATTGTTTTAGATGCGGGACTTTTGCGCAACATACGGACTGAACCAGAACTGGGACCAGAACCAGACCAGAATCGTCCCGGTCTCAGTCCCAGACTCAGTCCCGGTCTCAGTCCTGGTCTGGTTCCGGTCTGGTCCCAGACCTGGTTCAGTCCGTATGTGGCGCAAAAGTGCCACATCTAAAACAATAAATCAAGACTGGGACCAGACCAGGACTGAAAACAGTTTACTCCTGGCTTAGTCCTGGTTTAGTCCTGATTTAGTCCTGGTTTGGTCCTGACTCAGTCCTGGTTCACTCTGTATGTGGCACAAAAGTCCGGCATCACAGTTTAAGTCACGTAAATGGGTCGTTATCCGTTTTTTCCATTCTTCATTTAAACACAAAATCAAAAACTGAAAAAACAAATCGTTATCTGTTTTTTCATTTTGGTGTTGGAAACAAATAATGAAGAAAATAGTTTTTTTTTTTTTTTCATTTTCTTATTTTAGGTTTTATTTTGAAAAACTAATGAACGAATGATACACAGACTCAAACTAATCTCACTTTATTTATTTAGCACATTTCATGAACTGTAACGTTTCGAAAGTGCTGCCCAGAAAAAACACTTTAAACAAACAAACAAACCAGCGCTAATAAAAATAATGATACATTCTAAAACAATAAATCAAGGCTAAAAGCAATAAATAAAATAATCACAGTATAAATAAATGAATAAAAGTCACAGGGGAATAAAAGAGAATCTTAAAATGAGGCTAAGTAAAGGATTACTCAAACATGTGTGAATGAAACAAAACTTAAGCTCCGGGTCTATTTTTGATGCGGTAACACGATTATAACACGGCCTAAAGTTCACAAGAGTCAGTTTTGCGTCATATAGGACCAAACGAACTAAACAGCGTCTGAAAAGTCTTAAAGAGCAGCGGAATGTGAAAGTCAATATTGTAAAACTCTGTCAATAAAAAGCCTCTTGGTTAACCAACCTGAATGTTCAGCTCTGCGCCTTTTTTCCTCAGGAGCTTTAAGACGTCGTGTTGTCCGAACAGAGTGGCCAAGTGTAGACACGCCAGACCTGGAGGAACACAATTATTAAAGAAGCACTATGGAACTTTTCTGCTGCAGAGACAGGAGACAGGAGAATCAGACACCTGCCTGTATCCATGGAGATGTTATTAGTTTGACTTAAGTATGCCACAGTATAGTATTAAAAGTATTAATCTCCACAAAACCCAGAAAGCGACAACACCGTGCTAAGTGAAAGGTCAGGTCTGTGGAGAGGCGAGCCTAGAGCTGTTGGATTATGGAAAAAATCATTATCACGATTATGTTGGTCAATACTGAAATCAAGATAATTTTTTTGTTACACAATGCATTTATTCAGCATTTCTCTCTAAAAATAACACTTAGTTATTGATAATTTATACAAAATTTTCAAACTGAAAATAAATCTAAGCTATAAATACATGTGTCTTAGAGCAGTTTTGCGATATATAAAACATAAAATGAATAAAATATACTTTGAACATGAAATAAGGCATAGAAAAACATAAATATATCCAAAATAAACTATATATCCAGCTGTTCTACAATCTCTATATTTATATACTTATTTATATTCTAAAAAAAAAAAAATATATATATATATATATATATATATATATATATATATATATATATATATATATCCCAAACTAAACTTTGTTAAGCTTTATAAATCGTTTCAACTCGATTATATGAGTTTGGAGATTGTTTGACACACAAATCAAAATCGCGATCAAAATTCCATTAATTGCACAGCCTTAAGTGAGCCCCACTGAGATATTTCTGACCAAAAAAAACACCTATAATAAATAAAAAAATAAGTTAAGTTTAATGTCATACTGTGAAATATTCCAGGCAAAGTAATAACACCTCATTTCATCATTTTGTGCATTATTTCATGTTTTGCGTTTCCAATCAGAGCATAATTTTAAATTATAAATCTACAACACTTACTCTAACTTGAGTAGTAGTTTTTCCACTTTTTTTTTTCTTACTTGAGTAGTGTGACCCGACTTTCAAAATCAAAAATGGGACACCCCCGGTTTGTGGTGGTTGGTAATAATAAAATTGTGAAACGAGTGCGTAATTAAGGAAATTTGTTGCACTCAGCTCATTCATGACTAACGTGAGTCAGTGTAGTCACATTTTCTTTGTGCTTTCGTTATTTTTAAGCAACTTTCCCCTACAAATGACAATGTATGCCTCTCTTTACTGTTGGCAGGGTTCAAATTGGTCAAAAATAGGGACACTTGGGACATTTCTTGTATAAAACTGAGACAAATCACTGGTTTGGGATAAATCTGCAGGGGCAGGGGACACAGGGCTCAAAACTGGGACTGTCCCGGGTAAAAAGGGACGTCTGGTCACACTACACTTGAGTGATTTCTTGGGCCACTACTTTATCAGTAATTATTTTGAACTCTATTCTAGTACAATTACGGTCTACTCTACCCAGCGCTGATCGTTATCATTCCAATAGATCTTTTTCACAACAGCCGGAAGTGCCTCGATGTAGGGTAAACGTCACTTATGTTAATGCTGTTCTATGGAAAATATCTGTAGAAATGTCTCATATATTTTCCACCAGCTTCATAAATCTGCCCCATCACCAAATCTTCATCCAACAAGGTCCACAAAGGATAAAGATTCTAACATGAAGACGTTATCCACAACTTTCAAGGTAAGAAAGACGAAAACGTAAAGGCGAACGATGACGACGCATTAGTGAACTACTCCTGAACAAAACTAACATTATGGTCATGAATAAAACATAAGTAACACGTAATTCATTAATAAGCAACTTGTGAACTCAGACTGATTCTACAATTAAAATTTAAAAAAATATTTCATGATGTAGATATTCGCATAGATAGAAAGAGAGAGATTTCTCTGTCGATGACCATAACGTTTTGCTCAGGGGTAGTTCTTAATTCACGTCGTTGTTCCCCTTTAAGTTTTCGTCTTTCTTACCTTCATAGTTGTGGATAAATTCTTTATGAACAGAATATTTCTTTTGCCGACCTTGTTGGATGAAGATTTGGTGATGGGGCATGTGGGAGCCTAAATTTTTTCATTACTGAGATAATTATTCTTATTTTGTTTCATTTAATATTTACTTAAAATGCATGATTTTGGTATTTTGATAATTCTTTATGGTTAACATGATTATTTGTTGATTATATGCTAGATAATTTATTTAAATTTTTCTTTCAATTAATTATTGCTAATGTTAATCATAAGTTTACTTAAGAAATGTTTAATTTTTGTATTATTTTGTGGTGTATGGCTCCTTATTTAAGGCTAGTGCAGATGCCAAACAGTGGAGCCAAACAGTTTTTTGACCTCCTGTCACCTGTATGTTAAAAGGTTTTTAGTATGTATTTGTATGTCCCAGTTTTGTGAATACTCAGTAAAGAGTTTTTAACTGCACTTGGATCGCTCTCTGTGGATTCTTTTATTGTTGAGACATTTTAAAAGGTGGAACAAGGTGTGCAAAGCGTCAACTATGGCTTCACAAATGTCTGGACCATACAGGGCAAATTTATGAAGCTGGTGGAAAATACACGAGACATTTCCACAGATATTTTGAAAACCATTAACCTAAGTGATGTTTACCCTACATCTCGGCACTTCCAGCCGTTGTGAAAAATGTCTATTATGTACCATTTACAGAAATAAATACAGTGTTTCCCATTAATACAGGAGACTACGTTGGCCCCCATAGACTATTACATAAATGAACAGAGCTAACGCACTTCAAGCTCCATTGACTCTGGCTCCAAATGACTTTATATTGAAAAAGTGTGGCCCTTCTCTCTGTAACTGCTGCAGTGAGCCTCGTCATTTTGCTCATATTAACTTGCCTACATAAACCTGTTTATTTTGCCATTTTGTCCATAAAGATAAAAAAGATATGAACATTAAAAACAGAGCAATGAGGTGGCTGCTTTCATAACAAAATGAGACTTTATTGCTCATCCTGTTCTCATAAACTCGAAGAGACTACACAGGTCAAAGTGAAACTAAAATGATTCAGCTAAAAATCACTTGTGGCTAAAAAGTCTCGACAAAACCTATGACAAAGACTTTTCCGACAGTCTCCTCCTCCGTGTGTGTGTTGTAGCAATACCTCTCCAGTTGTGCATCTCCAGCACTGGACCCAGCTTGGTGGGGGTCAGGTCTCGGGTCATGTGGGTGACGCACTGGGTCTGGCCGTGCTGACAGGCCACGTGCAGGGCTGTGTTCCCCTCTCTGTCCTGGAGCTCCAGACTGGCCCCTCGCTCCACCAGGCTCCTCACCACCTCCGCCTGGTCCAGGTACACGGCCAGGTGCAGCGGGCTCTGGGGAAACACAACACGAGGCCTGTCACAGCACATACTTCAGTGCAATGTATTGTAGAGGAATATTTTGATAAACGATAATAGTTTAGTTTCAGTTTATGCCACTGACACAACGCAGGAAAATCCCAGTAAACCAGTTTTTAAATGTACTGTATTATTAAAGGTCCTGAGCTGTAACAAATAAATAGCAGAAGGAACCAATAATTAGCCATAAAAGTTATTTATTCTACTCTCTACAGTTGAAATCTCCTGGCCTGATTCATTAGCCGGTTTCACTTCGTAGACCTCGCAGCGTTAGGATTCATTCGCTTGACGGTAGGTAGGTACTTTTTTTCATTTAACCCACAGGTGTCAAACATGCGGCCCGGGGGCCAGATCCGGCCCTCCAAGACCTTTAATCTGGCCCTCGGCTGATTTTCTACTAAAATACTTTAATTCTATTTTACTATTAAAATATTGGTAATTTTCTGCGCTGCTTAGCATATCAGCGTCTCTGTACGTGGCCCCTCCCACCAAAGCAGCACAAATGAAGACTTGTCTCTTTCCAAACGCTCTTAAAAGACGATCATTTTGACTGTTGACCGTGACACCCTCATCAACAAAATGTCAAAAATGAGAAAAGTGGAGCCGAGTGCAGGATTTTCCAAGAAAAATTTACTTATTCCTATTTATACAAGTTAATGTTAAACAAGTTCATGTTAAGACATTGTGTTGAAATTGTATTTTTCTTAAAGTTTCAGGTTGTTCATAATATTATAGTATATTGTAAAAGAAAGAGTTCATCAATTAAAAAGATTTCTGTAATAGATTTGTGTTTCTCTGCACAAATATTTGAACTTATTGTTATTTTTGGGGTTTATATGACATGAGTTTTCTGATCCGGCCCCTTTGGGATCAAAGTCAGTTGGATATGGCCCCCGGACCAAAATGAGTTTGACACCCCTGATTTAACCAATCACTGCTATTTGGTCGTAGCTGGTATATTATAAGCTTTTCCCAAATCCCATAGGAAGAAGGGAAATAATGTCTTTCCCCTTGATAAAATTCACCAAACATTCTCTTTGTTCCGGCTTTAAATCCTCGATCTCGGGAATCATTGACAACACAGAATGTATGGCTCTTCCCTGATTGGCTGGTGCCCGAACTTGCACTTTCGGGGTTCTTGCAAACCGTCTAGTGTATTCTGATTCCTGACCTAGTCGCTGGAGAGAAATTAAATTAAGCAGAGGCACTAGGTGGCGCCAGCCTGGCTACAAATCTCCCCATTTTGCAAATAAATTGTATACACGATAAACACTGAGCCCCAAAATGTATAGTTCCAGCTTTCATATATTGAATAAAAAGTTGATATCGTAATTATTGTGACCGACACACAACACAACCAGATCAAATCAGTTGTAAGTTTGGGCACACCTCCTCCTTCAGTGTTTTGTTTTGCCTCATTATGTTAGCTACTTTTTACATTTTTGATACTTAGGAAAACAACAAATGATGATACCAGATACGTGGAATTGTGTAGCAAAGAAAAAAAAAGTTAAATAATGCAACTAAATGTTTTTTTATGTTTTATATTCTAGTTCAGGAGTCTCCAACCTGTAGCTCTCCACTCCATTCTAAGTAGCTCACCAAGGGATTTCGGAATTATACGATTGTGCTGAATAACAAAAATTTGGTTAATTAAATGCCCATTATCATTGTAAATATGTAATTCTGAAGCCCAACTTTGTGCACTAATAAATGGACAATGGTTTATGTTTTATAAGCATCTAACTGTGCCCCAAGGCTTACCCTCTTTCTTATAATCGTCTCACTTTCTTGTGGTCGCTAAAATGAGTAGCTCTCTGGCATTTTTGTTTTGTAAAAGAAACTCGCCGGAGGAAAAAGGCTGGAGATCACTGTTCTAGTTCTTCAAAATAATCACCCTTTGCTTTGCTAACAGTGGTAAAACACTTGGCCTTCTCTCAATGAGCTCCTTGATAAAGAAATGGTTTTCACTTCACAGCTGTCAGGATCAGGAAATACAAAGAGCACAAAGCAGTGATCAAAGCAAAGGGTGGCTATTTTTACAGAAAATGAATCTAAAACAAATTACAATGTACATTCCGTGTTTCTTCATTCATAGTTTTGGTGCTTTCTAGGGGTGTAACGATATCCAAATATCTCGGTACGATATTATCACGATATGCATCTCACGATACGATATTTATTATGGTATTTTGAAGCTAATATAAAACTATTGATTCAGTTGTTTCTGTTGAACATTCAGCACAAATCTGTATCAAAATCACTACATTTGAAGCTTTATTAGATCTCAAAACCTTCGCAAAATACTTTTATTCTTTAAGCATGTGAACTTTCATATTTTTACTGAAGTAGCTTTTTTCATGTGACACTTTTACTTTTAATTGACTTTTTTTTTAGGGAGCCTGCTCCTTATTGGGAGCCGTGTCTTCTCTTTCTCTCACCCTCTCTCTTTCTCTCACTTTTTTTCTCTTCGCGCCGCATGCAGACTCGTGGTTTGACAGCGGGCAGCAGCTGAAAATGAAACTTTCAGAAATATGCGTGTGCTTAGGATAAAAAAAAAACAAAAAAAACCCTGCATATTTGGCTGTAGTTTGGCATAAAATAAATAAATCGGGACTAATCTTGGGCTCAAGAGAGGGACAGAGATAGAGACCGAGTCCCGACACTCAGTCCTGGTTCAGTTCTGGTTCAGTTCTGGTTTAGACTTGCTTTAGACGTGCTTTAGTCCTGCTTGCAACAAAACAATCTGAAGAGCCGCTTGGGAGCTGAAAGAGCCAGCTGCTTTTAGTGAGCTGAGCCAAAAGAGCCTGGTTCTCTAAAAAAAACTTAAATATCCATTACTAGTAGCTAGAATATGATGCAAAAATGCTATTAGGCCGACCTACTGTCTGTAAATATGACGCAAAGAGTCAGAATAACAATAAATGTTGCTTAAATAAACCCAATTTAAAATCCACTAGAGCCAAACCTAAATTTTTTTAAACAATTCAAGATTTACAGTGAATTTTTACATCACTAAATATATTGGTGATTATATCGGCTATCGGCAGCTCCAACTCCCATTTTATCAGTATCGTATCGGCCACAACAAAATGCATATCGGTCGGGCCTTACTTTTGAAGATACGATATCACGATATTTCGGTTAGTGCGTTCAGTAAGATTCCAAAGCTTCAAGTATCAGATATAAACTGATACCAGAGCAGAGAACGAGAGCCTTTTATTTCCTTTAAAACAAAATAAAACACGACAAAACTGAACCAAATGTGTTATGTAACTGTTATGTATCTCTCAAGTACCTATAGAACAGCTTTGTATAAATAAAAGTTCACATATTGGGGAAACTTTCTGAGCCCAGTGCCATCTGTAAAAACCGATATGTCTGGAAGTTAATTCAATCCATCGCATTTTTCAGTCTTGGCGCCAGTGTCCGATATCAGTAACACATCGGTGCATTCCTAGATTCTGCAGTGTAAACAGTGATGAAAGTAAAGACAAAATAAAAACGAAACTGTGCGTCCAGACTTTTGACTGGTAGTGAACGTGACAGCTGTGAAAGAAATCTTGGTGATCAGTAAGTTAAAAGGGCAAAAGTTCAAAACCTTTTAGTATCTGTGTGGTCTGACCATATTTGATCCAACCTGCACTCACAAGACTACAACAGAAATCTATTATTATACAGAAAAGCACAAGGAAACAGTGAGTTAAAACACCTTTTGAACATTCTGACAAGACTGTTAACTCAGCGATGTTTGTGTAGTTTTTAGCTCATTCAAGCTGCGAAACAGAAAGTCAAAAGTTTTAGAACGCCACACTTTTTCCAGTTTTTTACGGTTTACTCTTAACCAAAACGTATTCTAAACTTTTGATTCATGAAAGTGTCCACCTTTGGCAGATATAACAGCTGAACACACTCGTGGCTCGTTTTTTTTTTACAATAGAAATCAAATATGCTTCAGAAAGTTCTTCCCAAGTCTGTTGCAGAAGTTCCCATAAATGTGTGGCACTTGTAGGTTTCTTGATTTTCACTCTTCTGTTCAGTTCATCCCAAACCAGCTCGATGGGTTTTAAGTCTGGACACTCCATGTTTTCAAGTTTACCATCTTGTTCATTTTTCCTGATGTAGTTTTGGCAGAGCTTGGACTTGTGTTTTGTATCTTTTATCTTTTTTTTAACCTCTGGGTGTTCAGTTCTTACCTTTGTACCATTTCAAGCTCTTCATTGGACTTGCACGACTTGAATTACAATAAATAACTGGAAAAATTAGGATGTTCTAAAACTTTTGACCTTTGCCATTGAAAAAAAAAAAGACTAACAGAACCAGTTCATTTTAAATGCTTGCAGCGGTGAACATATTCCTCACTGATTTGCATCCAAATTATCCACTGCAAAGAGTTTTTATGCACTTATCTCCACTTTCAAAGGTCACACCAATAATGCCAACAACAATTAGCATGATAACAACACACTTCCTTGTTCAAGCAGACACAGCACAAACACAGGAGAATCATTTTGACCCTAGAGCTACTTTTACTGTATATCTGTACTGGGATAAAACACATTTTATTTTATTGTTACATGATAAAACTGAGTACAGCACCTTTAAAGAGCAAAATATTGTGATATTTTCTGATCTATGTTATACCTGGAGTTGAGTTTGTGTTTCTTTAACATGTTTAACACACAAATCCTGCGTATGTAGTTCTATGTAGTTCTTCTCTCAAACAGAAAACACTTTGTTCCACCTTCTGATGTGGTTCGCTGTGTTTTTAAACTCTTTACACCTTTAGAATTAGAATCATTTGGATAATTTCATCCCTGGAATTGCCAATGTTTACTGAACACAAAGCAAAATGTGCTGTTAACATGAAAAGTACCACTTCATGACATCACAAGGTGGAATAGAGCATTTTGAGCTTTGAAGATGCAAATGGACTAATAATAAAGGGTAACTCATCAGTCACGAGTACGTTTCTGAGTCAGTTTTGTGTAATATGTCAGCATGTAACGATATCCAACTCTCACAATACGATATTGTCACAGTATGAACATCACGGTACGATATTTATTGCGATATCGTGGGAAAGCTCAAGATATGGTGGGGAGGCTCAAGATTTGGGATGTAACAATATCCAAATCTCTTATGATATTTACGCAATATTTTCACAATATACATCTCACGGTACGATTATTTATTGTGATATTTTGTAGAGGCTAACAAAACTGTTAATACGCTACTTTTTCTTCTGAAAAAAATGTCTTGACAAGACTTAATCCAAAGAACTAAGACTTAAAGGGCCCATCTCATGCAAAATCAACTTTTCCGAGCTTTCTACCTTCTAAGAGTGATGTGTGGGCCTTGTATATGTCGCTGAAGTGGTTTTTAGATTGATTAAGCATTTTTTTTTAACAAATTGCAGCGTATTTCTGCCACCCTCCCACGCGACAACGAACTAAAGCTGCTACAACGATGACGCGGCAGATACACCTATGACGCGTTTGACGTAGCAGAAAGCGCTTTGCGGCTCACTCAGAGTCTACGTCACGTTTGGAGGTCGGAGCCTGTGCTTTCCCAGAACGAGCGGGCGGAGGAGCAATAGTCGGTCTTTCATAGTTCCTGGTCTGTGCCTGCCTCCAAGAAATCAGTAAGATTTCATAACTGTTGTGTAATGGATGTTCCAAAACCCAACTGTGCTTGTATATGTGCAGAAGATACAATGTGAAAAGAGTTATTTTGCATGAGATGGGCCCTTTAAAAGTGCTTAGAACTGTTATTTCTTCATGTAGTCTACACCGAAATGGATGGATCATGGTCTATGTAGTTACCTCAGTTTTTTTTTTAGCTGTTGCTGCACTATAACTCTTAATTTAAGCAAAGAGACTTGTAATTCCATATATTGTGATGGTCCACGATATTATTGTGAGAACTTTGACAATATGATATCACAATATTTCAGTTAATGCTACATCCCTAGTAATATTGGACCTTTAATTGTGCTTTTACAGTACTGATGAATTATGGTGTACTTTCTCAGGAAGTGGGGCATTCTTTGGGTTGTTTCCGCTCCGATGTACTGTGCACTTTTGCTTCCTACTCATCTGTCATCTGGAAGGACAGGATGAACCACCACGATGTCTGGAGGTAGCCTGAAGCAGGGGAGGTTCCAAGGCCCCGTCCCTTTACGCGAATATTAGGACCAAGCACGCCCACAGATGCACTTCGAAGTACTGCAGGGCCGGGCTTAACGTAAAGAGGAACTACTGCTACTACTACGGCAGTTCTCTGGAAGTACAGGTTAAAAATACTGCATCTGAGTATGTGAGGGCTTTGGGGAAGTTACCAGTGACTGAAACTCGTGTTGGTTTATAAGAATTAGAATGGTCAGAGTGGTCAGGTCTTACTAGAAGTCTGTCATAAGGAAGCAAGATTGAAAAGGTGATATGTAATGAGTAATACGTTACTACAGATAAGGAATATTAAACGAGATATTAACTTGGCAAAAGAAAGATATTCATTGTTGCATTGTTTTCCCATGTGGTGTGGTTTTACATGCACCAAACTCACTAGAATTAGGGGAGTGCAAAAATATCAAAAACATCAATCAATATATCATATCATTTAATGTGATGATACAGCACTGATATTTTGTGGGCTGCTGTATCAATATATCGCCAAGAGTTTTCTAAATATTTTTGTTACAGCTCTACGGTTTTGTTGCTTGTTTAGAGGAAGGAAATTTGTTTATTTGACATTTTCACTAATTTGATTATTAAAATTTTTGTGTTTCAAATGAACTTTGTACAAGAAGTTGTTTAACAAAGACTTTTACTATCACAGACAAGATTTAGCCTTTATTTTTTACTGAACCGTATCGAATCGATTTAAAAAATATCGTATCATGGCTTATGTATCGAGGTATGTATTGTATCGGCAACTTCTTAATGATACCCAGGCCTAACTAGAACTTTTTTTCTTTAACATAAAACATTTGAAAGGAGCTGTACTTGATTTTTACTAGGGCTGGGTATCATATCGTCTCTCATGATTCGATACATGGCTCACGATACGATATTATCATGATACAGCAAAACATATGATGAATTACACATGATATTCTGTGATATGTTGCATTTTTTTTAAAAGACCCAAACATATCTTAAACTGCTACTTGTGCAAAGTTAATATGAAATACATTCATTTTAATCATGCATAAACAAGTTTTCTTCCACTAAATGAGCAAAAAATTGTGTGGTTAAAAAAAAAAAAATCAGCTTAAAGATACCAAAAAAACAATATAACGGAAGAAGCCTACCATCACGATATATTAATATTTTTGCACACCCCTAATTTTTACTGTCTTAAAAACATGAAAAACAGATTTGAAAGAAGCTGTACTTGATTTTTACTAGTCACCGTCTCTCACGATTCGATACCATACTTGATATAAAACTCACGATAAGATATTTTCACAATATGGTGATACATACAATTAATTACACATGGTGTTCTGTGATATGTTGTTGTTTTTTTAAGAACCAAACACATTTTAGCAACAATATTTCTTTCTTAGGCCTCATCCACACTAGTGCGTATTTGAGTCATTTTCATTGCAGATGTAATGTTCGTCCACACTAATCCGGTGGAAAAACGGCTCCAGAGGCGGAATGATCTGGTGCCGCCAGCTCCCACGAATTCATTCATCTGAGTACAGATCTGATCCGGCACTGTGAAAACGTTGATACACTGACATAGGAGCTCTAGTTGCGTTCTTATTGGACCACGTCACTGTGACTTGTGCCTTACTGATTTGCTGTGTTTGTGACATTGTTCATGTGACGCTATTGTGGAAAACAGTTTAAACAAACCACAGACAAATGGGAAACAACGTAGACAGAACTACTTGATACTTTCACGTTTGCCATCTTCCTCGGCTTGAAATCAGCTACTACAACTTCAGACACGATGCTCCACTTCCTTGTTTTTACCGCCCACATGACATCATGATGACGTGACACCAGCCTATTCATGTGACTAGTGTTTCAGGCCGTTTCACATTACTGTGTGAAGGGAAGGCTTTGATTGCGGAGACAGAAAAGACGTGTCTGGACGCAAATTGTTCCCGATAAGGTGATACATTTCAGTGTAAACGTAACCTTAAACCACTACTTGTGCAAAGTTAATATGAAATACATTTATTTTAATCATCGAGTTGAGTGAATATGTCAACTGTATTGCATAAACAAGTTTTCTTCTACTAAATGAGAAAAAACTGTACTAAACTGCTACTGCTACTACTGCTACTACTACTACTACTACTGCTACTACTGCTACTACTGCTACTACTGCTACTACTACTGCTACTACTACTACTACTACTACTACTGCTACTACTACTACTACTGCTGCTACTGCTACTACTATTACTGCTATTGCTACTACTACTACTACTACTACTACTACTACTACTACTGCTACTACTACTGCTACTACTACTACTACTACTACTACTGCTACTACTACTACTACTGCTACTACTGCTACTACTACTGCTACTACTACTACTACTGCTATTGCTACTACTACTACTGCTACTACTACTACTACTACTACTACTACTACTACTACTACTACTACTACTACTACTACTACTACTACTACTACTACTACTACTACTACTATTGCTACTACTACTACTACTACTACTACTACTGCTATTGCTACTACTGCTGCTACAACTGCTACTGCTACTACTACTACTACTGCTACTACTACTACTACTATTGCTACTACTACTACTACTATTGCTACTACTACTGCTACTACTGCTACTGCTAATGCTACTACTACTACTACTACTACTACTACTGCTGCTAGTACTACTACTACTGCTTCTACTACTACCACTACAACTTCCGCTACCACTACCACTACTGCTACTGCTACTACTACCACTACTACCACTACTACCACTACCACTGCTACTACTACTATGCTACTACTGCTACTACATTATTTGACATGTTACCTGGTACAAGTTGTTCTGAATATCCAGCACCTCTTTGGGGAAGAGGTCTATGAGCTGCTGGGCAAACTTCTCGTCTTCGTGAATGATGGCGAGGTGCAAGATTCTGCAGAGGAAAAAACACGAAACGATTATCAGAAATAAAATCACAAGCTTGCACAACATCTGTAGGCTCTGACCTATTGTGACACCGAGCGATCCAAACCAACACATTTCACAGAGCCTGACAGAAAATATTGCATCATCACTTTCCTCGGTATTCATCTGTGTGCGCAGCAAACGGCAAGAGTTAGTGGTGGTGGAAGCACGTTGAGCAATAACTTTGAGATGTGCTGATAAAAACGCTTCGGAGTTGTACACATGCCACGAATGATGAAGCCAGGAGGGAGTATTTAAATCAGGACGATAAAAAACAAATGAATCATGTTTTCAATTTGGTCTAATGAACAAATAGCAGAGGTGGGACCAAGTCATTGTTTTGCAAGTCTCAAGTATTTGACCTCAAGTCCCGAGTCAAATACAGGCAAGTACAAGTCGAGTCTCGAGACGCTGATTCTTAAGTCCGAGTCAAGTCCAAGTCATTTCAAATCTTTAAACCAAAAAAGTACCAAATACAGCTTAGATTTTTGCCATTTATATGAATTTTAAACTACATTGTACTTAAAAAAATCATGGTATATGCTGCTACTACTACTACTACTACTGCTGCTGCTACTACTGCTCCTACTACTACTACTACTACTTACTGCTACTACTACTACTACTACTACTACTACTACTGCTACTACTACTGCTACTACTACTGACTACTGCTACTACTGCTACTACTACTACTACTACTACTACTACTGCTACTACTACTACTACTACTACTACTAACTACTACTACTACTACTACTACTACTACTACTACTGGCTACTACTACTACTGGTACTACTACTACTACTACTGGTACTACTACTGGTACTACTACTGCTACTACTACTACTGCTGTACTACTACTGGCTACTACTACTACTACTGCTGCTACTACTACTACTGCTGCTACTACTGCTACTACTACTACTACTACTACTGCTGCTACTACTACTACTACTACTGGTAATTCATATAAATTTTGCAATTTATATAAATTAAACTAAACTGTACTTAATAAAATCATGGTATATTTATATGAGTATTTATATAAAAGTTGTAGAAATGCTCATTTTTCCTTTTTAAATGTTTTGTCAAGACTTTAGTGTGAATCATTACGGTCAGCACTTAAAGAATTAAGATTTAAGAGAGCTTAACAGTTATTTTGTCATGAAGGATCAAGGATCATGTTCTATCTAGTTCCCTCTGTTTTACTGTATTGTACTGTGCATTACTGTAGTACATTTGAGTATCACAGTACTTCAGTTACATCCAAAATAACAAACAGAATTGGGACGGACATGTTCGCCACATTTGCCACATTTATCAACTGTAAAGAGAAAAGTATTTTCTAAAAACATATATATTTTTTTAAGGAGAACCATCAAGTCTTCTCAAGTCTGAGTCCAGTCCTGAGTCACTGACCTTCAAGTCCAAGTCAAGTCCCAAGTCTTAGTCCATTTTATCAAGTCAAGTCTTAAGTCGTAAAAATAGTGACTCAAGTCTAACTCGAGTCCAAGTCACAACCCTAACCCTAACCCAAGTCTCCACCTCTGACAAATAGGGCTGGGTATAAGTAAGAAGTTGCCAATACAATACATACCTTAATACAGTGCAAAGTTCATATGAAACACAAACATTTTAATCATCAAAACAGTCAAAATGTCAAATATGTTGCATAAACGAGTTTTGTTCCACGAAACAAACAACAAAACTGTAGCACTGTAAAAAAATAATCTAACAAAATATACCAAAAATATTCTTGGTGATATATTGATACAGCAGCTTACAATATCGATACTGTATCATAAAATTAAACGATACGACATATTGATATTTTGATATTTTTGCACACCCCTATTAACAAATCATAAAAATGTATTTCAAATGTGCATTTTATAACTTCTGTAGATGTAATTCCTTGTCTGGAATGTTTTACAGTATGGTATTAAACCTTTTTATCTTCATGGAGACCAAAGCAGACCACGTTACAGGTCAGATCTGTGGAAAGGCGACCCCACCCACCAAAAAATATTCTTGTCGATACAGCATATTGAAAAAGCAGAAAACGTATCACCAGATTTAGTCTCACAATATATTGATATTTTCACACGCCCCTCATTTTTACCATCTTAAAAATATGAAAAACAGAATTACTCACTACAGTTTCGGTTAATTTATGCATTCCAAACATCATAATTATTCACCATAACGAGTTTCTAAGCGCTTTCCACAACTTTCCGAGACCACAGCAGAGTTTTTCTACAAAGGACTAAGTTACAGGTCAGATCTGCGGAGGGGCGACCCCGCTCACAGTCAGAATCTCTGTTTTTCTGGGTATTTTTGAGCTATAAAACCACCTGTAATTAAGTAATAAGTTTAAGGTACAGCTGTTTAATGTCATACTGTGGAACATTCCAGACAGAGCAACGACATCTCCACAGAGACAAGCACGTGACAAAGCCAAAAAGTTTTTAATTTGCAGTTACGGGCAGAGGATTGGCTGTGCACATCTCCATTAAAAAGACTCAAATAACAGATCATTAAAATTTCATTACTGTAAATGCACAGCTCTAACTCAAATATGTGAAATATGTGAAAGTACTTTTATAACTACTCCTGGTACTACCACTAGGGCTGGGTACTCTCAACTACATCATTATACAACATTTACAGAGCCCATGATATAAATCTTATCCTGATACTCGTACCTTGATACAATAAACGTCCTGATATATGGATCCGTTAAAAGCAGTGTTAAAAGTTTGATTATGCAGAAGAAGGGAGTAAAAAGGGCCAATATTACGCTATTTTCTGAACCATATTGTAATGTTTCCTCATCAAAAACAAACCTGCAGTTGTGTTTTGTTTCATTCACACATGTTTAACACACACAAAAAAACTGCATATTTAGACTGAAAATACAGAAAACACTCTGCTCCACCTTCATTCCACCTTGTTTTTAAACTCCATACATCTTCACTCGATTCATTTGGATGATTTGAGCTCTGGAATTGCCAAACTCTACTGAACAAAAGGTAAAAGGTTGCTGTGAAAATGTGAAAACTATCACTTCATGACATCACAAGCTGGAGCAGAACATTTTGAGCTTTGGAGATGTAGACAGACTAATAATAAAGGATTACTCAGACGTGTGTGAATGAAACAAAACACAACTTATAACACAGCTAAAACCTCACAAGAATCCATTTTGTGTAATACTGGACCTTTTACTACTACTAATACTACTACTAATACTACTACTACTACTACTACTACTAATACTGCTACTAAGGCTGTGCAATTAACCGAATTTTGATTGCAATTTCGATTCGTGTGTCAAAAGATCACAAACAAGCTTAACACAGTTTATTTTGGGATATTTATTTAATCTTTTAAATATAGAGATTGTAGAAGAGCTGGATATATAGTTTATTTTGGGTACATTTAAGTTTTTCAATGCCTTATTTCATGTTCAAAGTATATTTTATTAATTTTATGTTTTATACTTCACAAAACTGCTCTAATGTTCATATTTGTAGCCTGTATTTATTTTCAGTTTGAAAGTTTTGCGTAAATTATTAATAATTTTTTTTTCTTTTGAGAGAGAGAGAGAAATGCTGAATAAATGCATCGTGTAACTAAAAAAATAATCATTTGAATAATCGTGATTTCAATATTGATCAAAATAATCGTGATAATGATTTTTTCCCACAATTATTGCTACTACTGCTACTACTACTACTACTGCAACTCCTACTACTGCAACTCCTACTACTACTACTACGACTACTGCAACTACTACTACTACTACTACTACTATACTACACTACTATACTGCTGCTACTACTACTACTACTGCTACTGCTACTACTGCTACTGCTACTGCTACTACTACTACTACTACTATACTACACTACTGTTACTACTACTACTGCAGCAACTACTACTACTACTACTACTACTATACTACACTACACTACTGTTACTACTACTATACTGCTACTACTACTACTACTGCTACTGCTGCTACTGCTACTGCTACTGCTACTGCTACTGCTACTACTACTACTACTATTACTGCTACTGCTACTACTACTACTACTACTGCTACTACTACTATACTACACTACTGTTACTACTACTATACTACTATACTACTATACTACTACTACTGCTACTGCTACTACTACTATAACTGCTACAACTGCTGCTACTACTACTGCTACAACTACTACTACTACTATACTACACTACACTACTGTTACTACTACTATACTACTACTACTACTACTGCTATTATTATTACTACTACAATACTACTGCTACTGCTACTAC